ACAACCAAGGCAGGCATTACTTCCTTTCGTTTAGCTATTGCCGAAGAATTGCTGGAGCAATTGTCATTGCCAAATTATAAACGTCGTGGACGTCCGTCAAGTAGCGATACACCATTTCGTTTGGCAGCGAAAAATTGGGCACACTTTCCTGAGAACATTCTGTCAACTAAGTCCAAGCAACACCCTGGAAAAAGGTGCCGTGTTTGTTATAAACATAATATTAGAAAAGAGACTACGTGGCAGTGCAAACAATGCAAAGTAGCACTGCATTTACCTACTTGCTTTGAAAAATATCACACTCTGCATAATTATTAGTAATTGGTTTTTTGTTATAGCTTGAATTTATTTCATTTAGTTTTATTTTGTTGTTATTAATTTATTTTTGTTTTGCAATTCTAATTACTTGAAGACATTTTAATACTACATATGTCACCAATATTTTAGAAATAAATAAATTCTTACGTAAAATGTACTGCTTTTACATACCACTCCAAGCAACCAAAAATTATATCCGTTCCACATGCAAATATTTTCTCAAATAAATCCGTACCCAAGGGGTTAAAGATACAAGGGCTAATACTTTTTATACTATTTAATAATACTACGAAAAAAAATGTGTAGTACTTTAATTAATTTAATTTGAAAATAATAAACCTCTCTTTATTTTTGTATTTTCATAGTAACTTTTTCTTACAGTATTGTGTATAATAGTAAAATATTTTATAAAGAAATCTATAACACAGTGTTAATTAATGATAGTAACTATATTGCGTTATAACATCCAATATAGCTTCTCTTTCTTTCTTCTCCTTTACACCAATTTCAATTAAGTCTTGATCAGTTAGAGACAAGAACAACTCAAAATCTACCTATAAGAAACATAAAATAGTTAAAATGACTTATTAAAATTTAGTCTTTATTACAAATACTGTTTATACGTATATTATAATGCGAAAGTCTAACACACTTACTTCTTGTTCAAGAAATATAGGAATATGTTGATCTAATTCATGACATTGTAATAAAATACACAGTTTTGTTTCTTCTGAATTCAAGATCATTCCTCTTGGTGGTGTTTTATAATGTGGTGGTGTTGGTGTATCTTCACCAAACACATTTTCGTCCTTTAGATCTGCAGGTACATACGGTGAACGAACTGGACTAAATTCAGGAATAAAACTAAGAGTTTTATTAAGATCCTCTTCATCATTTTGTATATTCAAGTCTGGTGGTCGAATAGACTGTAATCTTTAGAGCAGAAAAAACTGAGTGAACACAAGAAAATTGTTTGATTAACCATTATATTCTACAATATACCTCTGCAATGGTCGTTCTGGTAAACATTTATCAAGATTTGAGTGCTGTGTTAATTCTTCATTTTCCTTTTCAATTAATGCTTCACACTTGTTTATTGTACTGATATTGACTTTGTTGCTATCATTATTTTTAGTGAAATAGATATTTGGAGATACTGGTAGGCTTTCATCCAAAGTACAAGTCAGTCTTGGTGAGATTATACTACATGAAGTAGGATCCGAATGCTTTGCTACTAAATTCAATTTAGAAGGCTTCATTTTTAAACGCTGGTTAGAATCTATTATTATATTACTGTTAAAATCATCGTTTTTCTTTTCTGAAGAATGTGATGTAACTTTATATTTCACAAAGGAATTTAGGGATGACGCTATATTATCATCTTCATTTTCTTTCTTATATTCCTTTTGAATATTAATTTGATCTGAATCACTTTCTAATTCTATAGGTATGTTATCTGAAATATCATTCCAATAATCTTCTACATCAACACTTTCTGCTAAATTTCGAATTTCTGGTACTGTTGACAGTTTCATCATGACATGCGTATATTCATCTATAAGAAAGGATAAAAAATGTTATTACAAAGATATCTATGAACAATACTATACATATATTTTCCTTAAAGAAGTATACAGATGTTACTCACTGATTTTAGAAATTTCAAATCCTAAACTTAACAATTGAAAAAATAAATCTTTATCATTTCTCATAGCAGCTACACAAAGCGGTGTGATATCATCGTGCATACAATTCTGTAATGCAGACGGACATGCTTCGTATACAGTTTGAAACATATCCTTATCAATTGCAGCTGCTAATCCAAGGACAGACATACCTATAAAGTATTTTAAGATAGAAATGAGCCGTTTATTTTGAAAGTGGCATAAGTCACTTTGTTTTTAAGTCGATATATTTAAG